TATAGTGCATGTCTTTGGACTTTGAGCGACTTTGAGAGGAAACCCACGGCAACACGAGGCAAACATGCAATATATTTTGTGTTTATCTTGATTGCTCCTCATGCTGTATATATGATCTATTTTTCCCCTAGCATATACATTTGGGCTAATTTCTAGCCAAATCTGAAGTTTTTGTTGAAATGTAAATAAAATCTGAGAAACATATATATATATATTTCCACAATGATGCCCTCTTCTACATTGTCTTGTTATCTTTTGAGAGAAGCCTGTGTGATTTCCAGTTCAAAAACTTGAAAAAAGTTTTCTTAATAAAAAAAGTAACATGAATAATTTCAGGGCTTGACTGTGTATATCTTTTAGTTTTTTAAGTTTTGATAATTTTATCTTGACAAATCTTGAAAAATGTTTTTAATCAGACTCACTTTTTCAAAATTCTGACCTTGGTTTTATACATCAGATACTGTACCATTGTTGGGAAAAGTTACTTTTGAATGTAATGCATTCAAATATTGAGTTACTCCCTCCAAAAAAGTAACTAGTTGCATTACTTAGCTACTTTTTATGGTAAGTAATGTGTTACATTACTTTTGAGTTAATTTTATTACCTGGCTAAGGCTTGTTCTCTTTCAGAACTTTTTTTCCCTATTTCCTTTTTTTATTAGAGGAGCTCTGCAATTAACAAAGCACTGTAAAACCGTAATTTACCTTCATTAAAAAAAAAAAAAAAAACACACATCTAAAATAATAAATTATGATAATGTTATTTGAGAGCTGACCCCAGAGCTATACTTGTCGTATATATTTGTCTTAAGTAAAATAACTGTCCATTAAGACTAAAATCCCCTTTTCCTTTTCTTCGATGTGATCAAAATAATGAACAAATTCTCTCATTGACTGTTTGATTCATTGTGACTACTTTCATTTTAATTCAGCAATTAATTTTTTAAAAAGTTAATTAATTAAACTAAAAAGTAACTCTCAGCACATTTTTTTAAAAGTAAATCAAATGTAATTAAAAAAAAAAAACTATTTAACTTCTACTCATTGCTAAGAAAAGTACACTGTAAATCCCAAAGAGTTAACCATTTGAAGAAAATAAGTACTGTAAACTTAAACCATTTGAGTAAGCAAAACAATTTGAGCACAGTAAAACATAATAAATGAAGCAAATTCAAACCAACTGAGTACTGTAAAACTCAATAAGTTAAGGCATTTAAGTTAAGGCATTTAAGGAAACCGATTGCAACAAACCATTTGAGTTTAAAAAACTAATCTATATGAGTACTGTGAACTTACTCCATTTAAGTTGAAGTAATGAGGTATTTATTCATCACCTTCAACACTGAGTTCAAAATTCTTTTTCAAATGAGTAGATTTAACTTTCAGTCAATTTGAGTTAGCTACACTCATTTCATTTTCTAAAGTTGACTTTTGAGATTTACAGTTTAATATTATTTTGTAACTCACTTTGTGATGCGTTATCCCCAACACTGTCAGTGCATTCATAATGTTTTCAACATCAAATAAAAACACTGTTTGGATGAGACTAAGCTCATATTTAGGTATTCTCTTGACACAAATCTAGCATTTGTTAACCATTCTGTAAAAAATGTAGCTGGAAGAATGCCTGGATTTGAAATGTAACTTTTAATAAACCTTTTTTATCAAGTTTACTCTTTATTCTAGCTTATAGCATAACCTTGAATTTCAACAGTTCGCTGTGAGCATGTTTGTTTGAATGCATGCCAGTGACCTTCTCCCATTCACACACACACGCAGACGCACAGCAGCCCTCATGCAATACTGAACTCATCAGAGTCAATCCAGAGAACAGAAAAGAGGCATAAAATCTGCGCTATTTAAAGGTATTCTCAAAAACAGCAGAGCCGCTTCATTTGCATACACGTCTCCTCACGGCTCACTGTCAGCCAGAACAAAGATGTTTAACATAAAATAAATAAATAAATCCCACGCTACTGTCAGACTCTCCGTTAAGCCTTTGTTTTAAGGTGACATATTACAAAAGGTTTTTTTCTTCACTCCATTCAGATCAGTTATTCACAACATAACAGAGCATAAAAAAACACTAATTTTGTCGCTAAAATCAGGGTGAACAATTTTATTATGAAATAATTATGGTCCTCAAGGTTGATGTGTACATAGAGGGAATAATTAATTTCACGTACGCCTCTCGTTTGTGTCTGCTAACAGAAAAAGCATGCGTGGTTTGAGAGTCTGATTCTTGTTTAATGGTTCAGATAATGAGATGCTATAATATCCAGACATCAATGGTGCTGTTTCTCATCCTGACAGGTGGAACATGAGGCTTTTATATGGCAGTTTTTGAGTGCGTGTTGAGAAATAAAGACAGAAACCGAAAGCAAGCGCTTAGTATTGATGAACCGATTTGGAGGAGAGGTTTTATAAACTGCAACTGAACGCTTGAGATATCATGGAGCCGATATTGTAAACAAGTAAACCTCTACATGACCTTCAGAGATGGGAAGGAAAGATGTAAATATTTTATAGAGGATGAAAAATAAATCCAGGAAATATTAAACACATGTGCACCTGTGAAAGTTAAGAGCTGTTCACAAAGTGTCTTTCATAAGTTCCATGCCAATGAAAGCTGTAGTACTATCACAAGTCTGGTGTGTCTGTTTTGTATCCATGTGGTTGTTGTTGTGATTGTTGTGCTTTTATGTCATGTTGACTCCTTTGTTCTGTTTTGTCCCTCTCCTGTATGTACTAGGCATGGGCCGGTAAATTATTCAGACAATATGATAACCATAAATAAAAATTTCACGGTTTTGCGGTATTGTGATCACTTCTATAAAATATATTCTTTCTAAATGTCTGGGTAAAAAACAAAAACTTTTTCCCCTTTGAAAATATATATATATTTTTTTTTGAGAAACATTTAAAATATTTTGGAGCAGTAAACATGCCATGCTAAATAACTCAAATGAACCATTGACTTCTGCACTCTTCATTAGTTTCAAAAACACAGATTTCTTTCCAATTTAAAATGGCATCTTGGGATATCTTTTCTCCTGTTGTCCTAAAAAACAAACACAAAAAAATCGCTCGTATACAATAGGGATAACATTTAGTTGGTTTTAAAACCATGTGTTATGATTACCAGCAATCTAACGGCTACACACATTTCACTAAAGAACTACAAATCCGCCAGTATATGGACTGCAAGTTTTAGTCATGCACTCCTCACATAAACCCGTACCTCATTCCATTGATTTTACACACTCACGGATGGGAGCTGCTCATGAACTGATTACATGGACTATATACACAGTACACACGCACACCTCTTTGCTGAGTCTTGTTATACTGTTTTAAATGTTATACAACACATTTTTCTTTGCCTTGCCTTTCTGTGTTTGACCCTTGTTTTGTTTTGTTTGTTTGTTTACTTTGTATGATGCCTAACTTTTGACCATCTGCTGTTTATCAAACACGACTCTGGATTGCCAGTATACATCTATTTGTTCCTTTACTGACCAATATTTGCTGACCATTCTGTTGAATAAATCCTGGATCCACACTACGTTGTCAGCGTCCCGATCACATTATACCTTGACTTTCCCAAATCGTGGTGCACCTTGAAAACTGTTCTTGTCCCATGCCTAGTATGTATTCAGTTCAATCTTGTCTTTTACCACTAAGTTCAACTTGTTCATTGTCCGGTATTGTATTGCTTGACTTTGATGTTCCTGTCTTTGTAGTAAGGGCTTTTTGTTAATAAATAAGTGTTTTTTTATAACCACCAAGTCTCGAATGCCTGTGTGAGCTGGTACTTGTGACAAATTCTAACATTATTGTTATTATTGATTAGGTTTTAGTATCTTAGTATAGTATAGTATAGATAGATAGATAGATAGATAGATAGATAGATAGATAGATAGATAGATAGATAGATAGATAGATAGATAGATAGATAGATAGATAGATAGATAGATAGATAGATAGATAGATAGATAGATAGATTGATTGATTGATTGATTGATTGATTGATTGATTGATTGATTGATTGATTGATTGATCATTTTGTTTCCTTTAATTTTATTTAATTTAATTTTATTGTAGTTGTATTATTATTATTATTATTATTATTATTATTATTATTATCCATGTTTTACAAGATATACTAATAATAATAATAATAATAATAATAATAATAATAATAATAATAATAATAATAATAATAATAATGTTTATTTGCTGGTTCGAGCCTCAGCGTTTCTGTATGGAGTTTGCATGTTCCCCCTGCATTCACGTGGGTTTCTTCCAGGTGCTCCAGTTTCCCACACAGTCCAAAGACATGCGGTACAGGTAAATTGGGTAGGCTAAACTGTCCGTAGTGTATGACCTTCTTGCTGTAAGGCAACAGCACTACCAACTGTGCCACTGCGTCGCCAGGTCTGATGCATTTAAAGGATTTGGCATCTGAACTTTTAAACTATAGTTATAATATTTTAGTAATTATAGTTATAATTATATAGTTTGTTTAGCTATTTATTCCTGTATGATAATATTGCTATAATAATTATAATAATAAAATTAAATTTTTTGATTTTATTTATTAAAATGAAGTATTAATGGTTATATTATTAATAAACATAAAAACACCAAAAACAAGTCCAGTTATTATCATTAGTAATACTATTTATTATTATTATTACTATTTACTAAATATTATTATTATTATTATTATTATTATTGTTTTATTATTATTATTATTATTATTAATAATAATAATAATAATAATAATAATAATATGTCACTGTATCTGTTAGCATACAGCAATAGTGTACAGAAAAAATTTGTTTTTACATAGTTTATACTAAATAAATGTATTTTTGCAAATCTGAGCCTTTTTTTCCCCCTTTTTTTTGGCATATCTCTTCTGAAACCCCATACAGAATGAACACAACAATGGGATTTCCTTGTGTCTTCCTCTTCTGCAGTCAGTGATGGTGTACCTGTATTCCCTCAGTGCCGGGCTGCTGGAGCAGTTTGACGGTCCTCCTGGTCACCCTCTGCTCATGTCCTTCATGCCAGGTCAGGTTTCCTCCAGCTCTGCGTGGCAGCTGATAGTTGAGCTCCTCTGCTGAGATCGTGTGCTCCAGCGCAGCCCGGCAGAAGCTGAAGCTGGACGCAGCTGAAGGAGGACAGAGAGAGAGACACCATTAAGATACGATTACATCATGACAAAAAACCACTGCCACTGGTACAGAAATACACACAAACTATGTTTTCTTGTCCATATACAGTCAAAGTAAAATTTATTTGACAGGGTTATTGAAACCATGCATTTTTTACAATGTACTAATAATACTATTACTATTAAAATTACATTTTTGAAAAAAAAAAGAAAAAAGAAGACAGCTTTCCACAATAGCTCTCTTATTGGTATTCTGAACTATTGCATATCATTCTCTGATTCGTCAAACCCCTCTCATATGGCCATTAAGAGCAAGCAGTGGAATGTAAGTACTTTAAAAAAGGCTGGGTTTAATACAATTGTTTGTCCCGAGTTGGTGCCAAGACAAATTGTTTAAGCAAATTTACCAAACTAAAGTGGATTGAACATAAAACAATTAAGTTGCCAACAGTTGTGTTGCTTCAGCTCATTTTAAACATGTAGTTTGAACAAGCAGCAAAAATATTTTTTGAGAGCTGTACGCATGAAAAGATATGTAATGTATCATGCTATTTAGGCTATATAGTGTGAAGAGACAACATTTTTTCTAAAACACAGAAAAAACGGCAGTCTGGACAAGAATTGTTTACATTGTAAACGGCTGCTTTTAAATGAAAATGCACTAGTGTAAATGTAACCTAAGCCTCAGCTCTTCTTGAACTTGTCTAACAGTTGCTAAGAGCTGATTGCCTAAAAATATGATTTCATATATAAAAAAAGAAGTCCTCATGCTTCCCACAAAGACATTCAAATAATTATCACTGAAGCACATTTGTTGGTGACATGAGCAAAACAGACAAATCCTTCAACCCAATTATTTGCATGACATTTATGTGTCAGCGAAACATTCCTGTGACCGCGTTACTGTTACTATTTATATCCAAGCATTGTTTTCAGCTTTAATGTGATCCACACTGAATTTCAGAAACAAATAGAACACAACAACTATTTTTTACAGCCCTCATTAATACTAGTTATGTGTATGTTAAAGTTCAAACTGCAATTCTGAGTGTGCCTCACACAGGTGAGAGGGCTAGACAAACCACCTTTAGAAAACACAATATTTCATCTCTCCGACACTTTAATCGACAACAGCTTTTGCACATTTGCACCAGAGATGTTCCAACAATCACTCCATATCTATATAAAAAACACTAACTTGCATTTATAAAGTGTGCTTAACATATAGAAACATTTTTCTCTCTTTCTCTTAAAAAAAGATCCCCCCTCCTTACTTTAGCACTTTATTCTTTGAGCACTAACTGTTCTTTTGTTTAATTAATACTTCTTGTGTGTATTGCCTCTTATTGATGAATCACTCAATCCCTCCTTAATTGTAAGTTCAGTCAGAAAAAAAAAAATTGCTAAATGACTAAAGGTAAATACTTTAGTTTTAACTATAGTAAACTGTGGTGTATTCATGTAATATATTTTACAGTATTAGGTCAGATTACAAGTTGTTGTATTACCATGTCAACAATAGAATTGCCACAACAGGGGTACGTTTCTAAAACAATGACATATTTCATGATGATTTCACACAACGATGTAGTGACGAGTATTTCCCAAAACCGTAGTTTTTCTGTCGTAGATCAGTCATTTGGACCACATTAGTTATAACGTAAAACGTTTATAATAATGCTCTAAACAGGGTGGAGTAACAAATGAAAAAAAAAAAACAACAACACTTTTTTTGTGCAAATTACGTTGTTTTACATGCACAAGCATAAAAAACAATCCAATATTATTTTTGGTAAAAACTTGCACTCGTTTTCTATATTAATTGAATTATATGTAAACATCACCTGTTTCTTTTTCAAACATTTTTGAGATTATTCTATATTCTATTCTAAAACCATAAAACCATGTAGCCAAAACTTATTCTAATTTCATATATAAATCATATAAATCGTTAATGGTTGTATTTTAAAGTAGGCTATTTATTAAGAAATTAAAAACAATCCTACTTAATAATAATAATAGTAATAATAATAATAATAATAATTACTATTATTATTATTATTATTATTATTATTATTAAGTAGGATACTGTTTATTTATGTATTTTATTTTTATTTTTTTATTTCTTATTAAATAGCCTACTATAAATTAAAACCATTAACTTATGTTATAAATTTTGTTTTCACAAGCTTTTTTCGTGAGCTACAGCTGCATTCAAAATGGCATCATTTATTTTAAAGTGCACTACGAAGGAAACGCAATTGTCAATATGATGATCGCTAAAACTGAACTGTAAATGCTTTGAAAGCAAATTACACTTTTTTTTTTTTAAATCATTCCAAGTTTGAATGTTGGACCATTCGAAAAGATAAAGGTACTGTATAGGGCATACCTATCAACCCTTCTGTTTTTCCCTGGATTCTCTCATATTTTACAGTTCTATCCTGCTATCATCTCGTGAAGGTATTTTCCCTTATTTCTCCCGTAATTTCAATCTTTCTAGAAAGGGTAGCAAAAATATACACAACCCATACCGTTGAACCCCCAGGGGACGCCCCTCGCTCTTAAATGTGAGTCTGTTCTGTGCTTTCATTTTATTTAGGCATGAAAACACTTTGAAATAAATATAAAAATGTCATGATTCCCTTCCTTTTCATTACAGGAGCCGTCGCCCCTCCTATGCAATCCTCAAAACAGTCATATATTGGTACGTGACTATCAAACGCACTCTATAATGATAAATAGACTGTTTCCCAAACGGATTGTGGACACGCGATTTGAGGCTGAGAATAGGACTGGGTTTTGGTTGCGTGTCTGAACAGGTATACAGATAATCAATAATAATAACAGATTTCAATCTTGGTGGGCTTTTTTTTTCAAACACTAATTTGTCCTAAATGAGCATAAAAAGTTAGGAAAGCAATCAAATGCTTTCATTATAATAATAGATATGTGCATTTTTAAAGTGACACCTCTGTTATTTAATGAAATCAAACAAAAAAATATTTCATATCCCTTATTATCACATTTCAGTGTTGACAGGTGTCATATATATAGGTGTGACAGTGTATAGGGGGTAAATTGGGAATAGAACACATCTAGGAACTATGCTTACAGCTCTAGAGGTGTAGTTGCAAGCATACAATGTGATGCAGTTTGCGAATGTTTGTTGGAACGATGGATTTGGGAAATGCCAAATCAACAAACTATGTTTGTAACGACGCAACTTGCAACCTTAATTTGAAATGCACCCCTGATTGATTCAAGTATTTTACTCCCATTCATTCATTTTATTTTTTTCAACTTAGTCCAGAAACACAAAATGAATGTGAGCCTGAAGTGGCCCACCTGTATTATGGCAAAGGGGGGCCAAAGATTGAAATATGGGCCATTTAAGGCAAAGATTTGGCATTCATTGCTAAATGTAATCTGAATGTGAGCCTAATATGGCCCATGTGGAAAATGATAAATTTGGCCTAAATGATAGAGGACAAATGTGTGCTACAGTTAGCAAAGTTGTGACATAGTCAATAAAGGGTAATCTGGGTCTAAACTGAAATTGGCTAACATGTGTAAGTGCAAATGTGGCCCAGTTAGCATAAGTATTTGGCACAGTAAACTCTGGCTATTGCGGTTGTGACCCAAATGTGGCCCAGGGAAAATATGGCAAATGTGGCCCAGTTATTTTAAAGCATATCCCAGTCAACAAATTTCCTTTGGCCCTGATCTGGCCCAAATCAACAGCTAAGATGTGGCCCAGATCAGTTAGTGTTCCCCGGCCCAAAACTGGCCCACATCTGTTTAGCCAGAACTAAACCTAAGTAGTGCCACAACTCCAACAAGCTTGAGCCAAGTAATACATTTTTTATGTGGCCCAGATATGGGCCTTGTATTCAAGATTAGTAAGGCTGAGTTCTGTTATGCCCTTATGTGGCCCACATGTGGCTGACCCCATATATTAACTGAGTAAATTACACAACAAAAATTACAATCAAATTTACTTTAATCAATGCAAATAACATTCAGATAAAACAATTATTGAACAAAATGTGGACAAATAAAGACCTAGAAAAGAATTTTACAACATACAAAGAGAAAAATACAAAATAGAAATAATTTTTAGATAAATATAAATAACATATATTTGATGCAAAGATGATATAATACACACAAACATTTCAACACACACTACTGGTCAAAGTTTGGGGTCTGTCAGATTCTTATACGCTTTAAAATAAGCTTCTCCTGCTCACCGAGGCTGCATTTATTTCATCAAAAATACAGAACACATTGTAAAATTGTGAAATATTATTGCACTGTAAAATAACTGTTCAAAAGTAGTTTATCATTTAATTTAATCATTTATTCCAGTAATTTCAATGATGATTTTTTAGCTTCATTACTCCAGTCACACGATCCTTCAGAAATCACTCTAATATTAAGTATTATTTTTAATAATGTTAATAGAAATAAAAGCAGTAATGACTGGAGTAATCATTTCATTTGACACTACATGCAATAAGAAAGCAGTTATTTGCAATTTCAATAAATATTAAACATTTTTCGTTTAACATTTTTTTAAATTTCACTTGATGAATAGAATCATTTTCTTTAAAAAAAAAAAAAAACATGCTATAACTCAAAACTTAAAATTCTGTCATCATTCACTTCTTCAAAACCTGTTTGTCTTTTTTCTTTTTTTTCTTTTTTAACACAAAATAAGACATTTAGAAGAAAACTGAATACCTGTAACCACTTACACCTATAGTATGAAAAAACACTGCAGTGTTTTGGGGTTCTGAGTTTGTCTGAGGAACTGAGTTTGTCCTACAATGCTTCCTGTTCAAGTGCTTGAACAAGCTGCTGGTTGAGTTAAACGCAGTGGAAAGTTCTTTAGAGACTGGACATTTTGTAGACTGAATTTCACAGAAATATTTATGTTTTACGCTCAATGACTGGAGTGAGGGCATTCTGTCAGACAGCACCTGCAGTGAAAA